GGGGGGTTAGCGGATGGTGGATGTATGCAAACTCTTAATTGATATCATGACACCAACTATTGCCATGTAAAACAGAGTTCGTATTCTGAAAGAAATATCTATCTATCAGTGAAGTCTTACAAATACTGCGTTTTATTTTGACACATCGGTACCACTTTCTTTCATATCGCTTTAAGCCATTTCGACATTTACTTGCTAGGTGTATACTGGCGTATTGCATTTATTTAAGATAAAGAAATGGTCAATGGTGTCATTTAATACCACGATCGCTAGTATTCATCCAAGTTTGGCCGGATGGATGGATGGGTGGATGGATGGGTGGCAGAAGGGATGGTATGTTTGTATTTCATCTCTCTAAAACTGAAACATAGTACGATACATACCCCTAAAAGTAAGCGCTGTTTTCAGAATAACGTTGAGCCGAAAATAGCCAATGAAAGATTAAGAGATCTCTGGATGATGGCAGCCGAATCGTTGCATTATGAATGGGGCTACATGCTTCTTGAGTCGGCCATATTTGACCTCGTCACATGCTGAAGACTTACTTCGATTAAAACAATAGGTGAATAGCCACAACATGCACCTACATACAACCTTATATATGTGTTGAATATAATTAAGGAAGCTGGAAAAGGAATTGAAATCGGTGAATATAAATTGAATATGTGAATGGATATATATGAAATATGATTGTACAGAATATATATGTATTTGCTTACCTAGTTTGTGATGGTCCGGATACTCCCCAGGCGCCGTATCAAAGTCCAACCACCCGTTTATCAAGTGATTACGACGCATCATTCAGGCTCTCGTAACCGGCACTTCGATTCACTGTTAGCACATGTACAGCGTGATAAGATAACGGGGTTGGATAGTTTGATAATCAATGTATGTAAAATTCATATCTAGGCGTCAAAGGTGTACACTTCAACAACTAGGATGGTCATTTTTTTTTTTTAGTAAATTCTACGTTGTATTCAGTTTAAGATGCCGGTTGACTGTTGTTAATTCAAAACGGCAATATAAATATATACATGCATGCGTACACGTACAACATTAAGTATTGATAATTTACTCATGCACCCACCGTCTGCAAAGTGGTGTTGTTTTATGACTGAAGTAATTTAGGATTCGGATCCCGGAGATATATAAGTAATCAAAAGTTAATTATGTACGAGATAAAACAAAGAATTGTTGATCAAGATGAACATATATGCTATACAAGCTTCAATAAATAGTTTACCAAAATGCTTTGTATAAAAACAACTTTTGGTACACATTTTTGCTCTTCAGTATATCGTACTACTTATATAGAATATGTCACCACAGGTATACTAGCATCCACAGGGACCTGATAATTTGTTACAGCTACATTTGTACTTAAACTAGGGTGAACAACGTATATATAATCATTGCATGGGTGTCATTTTTACCGAAAGTCGATCTAAACCCCTAAAACATGTAAAATTACTCTGAACATCTTAGTTTAGGTCTAAATACAGCTATAACAAGTTTCCAGATCCCTGTGCTAACACCGTCTGACGATACACCCATAGTTTATATTATGGATTGACAGACGAGGCTAGTACCTGTGATGTCTCACTAAATTACGGACGCTACACATTCACTGGCTATTGAGACTGGAAGATATACAAATGTTCCTAGATAATAAGGCATTGTAAAAAATGCAGCTCTAATGACATGAATGCACACCGTCTCTATACATTCTCTATACATTGTATTCTGTATAATGTACTCCTAAAGTTTGAATAAATCTTGAATAACGAAAATCTTGAGTATCCTTTTTCTAAAAGGAGCTGTCCAGCTCAATAATAATGTAACACAGGAATACCCCCTCCCCCTCCAACTATTTAACTTTTGGTTATTGATTGATTTACTGCATGTATAATTAATAAATCTGTTGATATATATTTTTCAAATCCAACGTTTAGTCATCTAAAATCATTTCAATACACTTACAACTATTTATTTGGAATGTATTGGGCCAATGACAAGCTGAAGTTTGTGAACTATGAACAATACACAGTGTAGCGTACGAATGGACCGGGACGATCTTTGTCTCCACGCACATTAGGTATCGGAAGGTTCTACGGCTACAACAGTTACTCCCCTTGACTACGTTAGCTTTACTATGCTTTAATTGGTTGCATTTAAGGAGGCTCCACACTTTCGCAATTAACGAGCATAATTTCATATAATGGTTATGCAACTATAAAGACTTGATTTGATGAAAATCAAAGCATTCGGAAAGTTTGGGGACTTTTTGGGGAAAAAACATACCAACAAATAGATTTTTCATCAATTTTAAAATTTATAATATTTTCCTTTTTTTATTGTGTGGCATTGTTCGGAACAATAACGATAATAAATACTTATAAGTAATCGAGGTCAGATAATAGCGGAACTGAGGTCAATTGAGGTCAGATAATAGCGGAATTTAAAAAATGATAAATTGTGTGTGTGTGTGTGTGTGTGGGAGGGGGGTGGGGGGGGGGCTCCAAACTCTAGACGGACGCCCTACCAATTGAGCTAACTGGTCGCCGACGATCGACCTAGTCCAGTTCTGCTACATTCCTCCCTTAGCCTTCGACCCCGAAGACACAACTATTTTCAACTGAGGGTCGGGTATCCCCTTGCTAAGCGTACTCCCAATACTTGAAACAAGGGTTGGCAAGCTCACCAATTTTGTAACAGGAGAAAGATAAAAATGAAACGGCAAGACCGGGGTTCGAACCGGCCGGGACCCTCCGGACAATCTACCTATTGAGCTGCCAGGTCGCCGACGATCGACCCAATCCAGTTCCGCTACAGAGCTTTTCCCAATTCCATCTGATTTATTTTTTAATCTATATTTTCCCTAGTGCCTGTGATATAGGTATATTATAGAATTTACTAGAACAGTTTCAGACTGATGGATTTTAGCTTACAACGTGTATATGACTCAACGCATTTGGCAAAATACTGAGCAACTCGTTTGCTTCAGAAAGTATCAATTACAAATATTTTATATGCTTATCTACAATGTACAACGCACCCTTTTTAAATCAGTTGAGTACTACAATTTTTCACAGAACATTAATGTCATAGCTGTCAACTTGTCCTGTCATTTTGATGGGAAAAATCAGAATGTTTTCACTGGATTTTGATTAAGTTAATGGGATTGTGTCACCATTTCTCAGTAGAATTTCTTCAAATTTTGTAGTTATATTGCTTTGAAGTTCACAAAAGTTTCTGCCACAAAAAAAAATAGGTTGTCAGAATTTTAAGTATTTTAAATGAAAAATTATGTAAAAAGGAGTGAATTTAAAAAAATAAAATAAAAAGACATTTTTTTGCAAAATAATGTCAATAAAAATGATACTGACATAGATTAGTATTGCATTAATGTATTTCAATTTAAAAAAAATGCTGAAATTGTGTAAAATTAATTATCTATAAACGATTAAAAATTGACATTTTATAATAAAACCATATACACATAGTAATTGCATGGAAGAGTTATTATCTTTCTTGAAAAAGTTCACAGTAGTGAAAAAGGTAGTCGGTTTCCTGCAGTACAGCAAAATTGACACATGTGACTCATTGATAAAAAACACTGAATTAATGGCTGGATTTATATTGCTTTGAAATACTTTAATACTGAGAGAACACACTGTTCTGTCAATAATAAACATGCAATATTCATCTGTTTAAGATTAACATTAGAATATGCGGAAATTGTAATATTGTCTCTCTACATTGGATTTTCAACCAGGGATGTACATACTTCCTATTTCCGTTTATCAATACACTCCTATGACCTTAAGGCGGTACCCCTTCATGATATTTTCACTGAATTTTCAGGTGAAACCAAAATGTTCAACGAGTTTAGAATGATAAGACCTAGCCATAATTCACCAATACTTTCCATTACCTTCTGCATTTTTTTTTTTCAATTTCCTGGTGAATTTCACGGCGGTTTTATGACATATGATCAAGAGACTGTCTGCCAATAGTATATTTAGGAATTAGGAAGTTAGTAAGAAAAGTAGTGTTAGCTGTAGTCTTAGGTCTTTGTAGTTTTACAGTTGATAGTAGGAGACTAGCTTGGAGTGGAGAGATTGCGTTCACAATGGTGAACACTTATATATTCTATGACGGATTGGAATACTTGTGTTGTAAATATAGTGTAAATATCAATGTACTTATTGTGTTGTTCAATTAATTTGAACTTGTGGCAACGGCGGAATTATTACAGAAAGTAACACGGTGGGTTAATATTACAAAACGTAACACTGGCGGCAGTGATGGGTACAGTCTTTTACGTTAAAGGCACATGCATCTCTGTTTGCATTAAAAAAATCTTTATATATTTTAGATATATCTCTAATCCATGTAAATGTATTTCATTTGGAATTAAATGTATCTCTATTACATTAAAGAAATGTATATCCCATGCAATTCCATACATCACTATTTCATTTGAAATATCATAAATTCATATAAAGACCTCCCAGTTTTAATTAAAGATAACCATATCATATTAAATAAAGTATCTTTATTTGAATTTAAGATAAATAAATATTGCTATTTGAATTAAACACAGCTTTATATCTTTTGCATGTATCTCTCGTACATTTAAATATTCTCTAATATTTCTCTGCACAACCACGGAATTATATTAGTTATCTAAGTCCGCGGCACAACTATGCAAATCACATAAATGGCACAGCGAGGAAAAATAATTTTTTAAAAAGCTTTCAAGAGATTCAAATATGAAATCTGGTTTTGAGATGGTCCCCAGTGACTATATAGAAGCGCCGACATTTTGTAACATTTTCAAAACCTTCTTCTGGACCTCATTAAATCTTGTGTATGTATATCTTTGTATCACTCAGTTTCTGTCTATATATACACATGTCACTTATAATGATTTCAGTCCAAATTAACTATATAAGAAGCTTGCTGTAGTTCATGCCGTTCATATGCTCACTCATTTTCTGATGTCGGTATTTTGTGCTAACAGGTTCCCGAAGGGACATAACTCTAAACCAAATGTATTGGAACTCTCTTCTTACGAAAAAAGTAGGTTGCACCTGCCATATTGTGACTCGTCCGAGAAGAAGTGAGCTCCGATTTTGGACGATTTCTGGCCAGACGAGACAAAAAGGGAAACGATTAAGGATACAGCTGATTGCCATGGTGTCTTGTCTTCCAGTTTTGATGCATATATGAAGGTGTAAGTGATTAATTCATTAAGAATCGAGTTCCAGACGAACCGTCTGGCTCGTGGCCTTGACCTTGATTTAGCCTCAAGTATTTTGTTTGTACACAATTTTGGCTGCGTGTCACTCGTGGTTCTCGATTTAATTGATTCATCGGATAAACTGAAGACTTAATTTCCGTAGTTATTATTAATTATTAATTAATTTGATTATGATAAGACACGATGCAGTGATCACTGATCATCAGTTCCTTTGCTGTCAGACAATATAGAACTTGTGTTTTGATGTCATTACAGACATTCACTAACTTAACTACGATCTGTACGAACCTTCAATAACATTTTTGATCTTTATACATACGGTACTGAATGTTCACAAATTCTTAAGAATAACATGGAAATTATTTTGGTTTTAACTAAGGTGTTATTTTACTAATTCATTGTGTTAACTGTACAAACTATTTGAAATGATTTCATGCCAGGTTTTATTTACATTTTAACTAATGTATTCTTACCTGAATATGTCCACACATATTTCCATATAGGGATATAGAAAGATTATTTGATTATCCATACCATTACAACTATAAAAAGTCTACAAATATGGACAAATATATGTATATGATTAAGTCCCGAAACGACTTGATTAAGTCCCGAAACGACTTTGGGACTCCCGAAACGACCTGTTAAAGAAACAACTAGCATTCATGCCATATCTAACAATTAGACTTATACTGGTGCTATGGGCTTTATCAAATGATGTTCAAGACTCTCCTGACAAAAATCCTACAAAATTCACAGTCCCATTTGTATATGCTATGTCATCCTCAATACTCCAGGGGTTCCTCTTTATTTCGCTCTCTACACCCCTGGAATATGTCATAGCAAGTTTGAAGTCTCAGTGTGTACAACCTTGTGGATGACACGAGCAGTTTGATCCTTTGATATATAAATTGTACATAAAAAGAATCTGTTGGTCGCATAACAGGTTTATTTACCCTGAGACCAGTAAAATAGGTAGTCGTTTGCCTTGAACTTTGATGTGATAGGGGCGCAGACATCCTCGATATCCAGCATTTACGCTCACTTTCGCTCTCTACACCCCTGGAATATGTCATAGCAAAACTGAAGGCTCGGTGTGTGCCACCTTGTTGATGATACAAGGAGACTAGTTATATCCTTTGATACACATCAAAAGAATCTTGCGGTCACGTAAGGGTAAAAGTTGACAGGCTTTGAAGTCGGGCGTCTCTCCTTTGTAATCGTCAAAGGACAGGTATCAGCCTAGCGATTGGTCAGTTTTTTTTTACCTGACACCAATCAAACAGCTATCTTCGTGCCTTCAATTTTGCTATGACATATTCCAGGGGTGCAGAGAGCGAAAGTGAACGTAACCCCCTGAGTATCGAGGATGACACTAAGTATCTTAAAAAGAGGTATTCTGGCCATGAAATTATCATAAGTTATGTTTTCAGTTCTCAAATTCAGATTTATCACCGAGGCTATAATTTCTCAAATTTATTTGAATTGAAATAGTAAAAAAATTGTATCCCTTTTTTGTTTGTTTTACAAAATCACTTCTTAACCTGAAACAGTGAATAAATTGCAGAAAATATAACCTTGGAACTTTATTTGAAAGGAAATAAAAAAAAAATAGAATTTAAAAAAAGAGTGTTATTACTGTTACATTTAGTCATAAGTATCTCTACCAATTTGTTGAGAATGTTAAATATGGTAAATAAGATGATATTAATTTTTCAGGTTGTGATTGGAGGTCAGAGGAGGAATTATGGATTTTGTCAGGATTAAACAAGAGCCACACGACAGTGGGTATGAGTTATCTGCCCCTGCCTCTGGTGAGTGATAATCACAGTAGTCGTGATGTTTGCCAATTAGGTAATTTTTAGCTCATCTGGCCCGAAGGACTCTCTACCCAATTTGACCAGTAGGAAGACTGGATTGAGATATAAAGTGTCCTCATTAAAATGACCTTGGCCAATTTTCAAGGTCACAGGGGTCAAATATGTTAAAAACTTCAAACAACAATTTCTTAAGAACCATTTGGTCAGTAGTCATGCTAATTGGGTATGTAATGTAGACCAGCTGTGAATTATTTTCTTTATTACAGTCATGAGGTCAAAAATCAACTTTAAGTGCTAGCCAGAGTCAAAGGTCAACATGGGTTAAAAGCTTTAAAAATAAAATTTCAAACAACAATATCTTAAGAATCAATTAAGAGATGTTAAAATGGCTGGTGTTCTAGTTACCAAATTTGGTCTGAAGATACCTATATGTCAGTTTCATGTAACAAAAGAAACAGGCGCGTGATACAGGCCCGCTAGGCCTCTTGTTATCACACATTAGCTAATCAATAACATCATTGACTCTTATCATGTTTTACTATTATAAAGATGTAAGACTTAAGTCCCCTAATGGAGCAGTAGAGAAACAAGGTCCTGGTTGTGAGAAGATTGTAGTTGAATCTACATTATTCAGGCCGAAATTTGTTTGTTCTAATTGGGTCACTCTCACTACCCACTGCCCTATATTTTTGGTCAATTTCAAGACTAGATAGTCTGACACTAGTGAAATCTCAAGCTGCTCTAGTTCAATGCATGGTAAAGTCTTACTAAAGTTACATAGGGGTGAAAGGGTTAAGGGTCATTTCCGGCCTCATCTGGGATTTTGAATAAGTTGTTATATTCGTAATGTGGAATAAATGAATTATGGAATATGAACTTTCAACTTAATTCAACAACTAGTTTAGGAGATATGGCATTACAAAGAGAGACATAAACCCACATTTTCATAAAAAAAATTGAATAGATATCGTCTGTTGTACACTTTTTGGTTGAAACATTGCCATTTTGAAGGAAATTAACTAAACATTCTTCAATTTTTGAAAACCGCCGCATGCAACAAACCAATCAATATTTGACATGCTTAAACATGGTCCTACTATAGTGTTCAGTCGTAGAAAGATTTTTTTGTTTACCTGGTATCACATGAGGAGGCTTTCATTTCTGCAAGCTAACTGTCCAAAAACACCATATTTTGTCTGTTTCTGCATAGCAATGCAATTTCGTTGCTATATTTGGTAAGGCGTCTGCGCATGCGCATTGGAAAAAAATCTACACAAAAGAAATATAGCCCCAATTAAACAATATCATGTTTATAACAGAAATATGGTAATAAATTCAAGTTGAATTTTTAACTTTTCATGAGGCCAAAAATGACCCATAACTCCCCGAGTCCTTTACTGGTCACTTTCTTATATAAACCTTACAAAAAATCAATTGAAAAGTAAAATTGATTACTTTCCAATTTTTTTTCAGACAAGTTTGTATTAAACAGAAAACAGGAACATTTTTTAAATTTTTATTTGACCTCTCTAGAGCACTACATCAATGTAAATACATACAAAAATTGGAGTATCAACATTTAGATTCTATTGTTTGTATAATCTTATATATAAAAAATCGCTTATGGAATTTTTCACACTTATTTACTCACAGCAAAAGCCGTGAACATTACCACATTGTGAAGTTTTCCAATTTTTATATATCAGCAGATGTTTTGTTTGGGTACGCCTGTAAAAGACTTTATAAATATTCTTATTATTTTTGTCTTATTACAGTGCTATCTTACAACTTACACATTTTTTTAATATTTTTTTCTTTGCCAGGAAACCACCGGCAGCCGAGTGAATCTCCAGGGAGAGACGAACCCAAACTAAAGCACCCGAAGTTAACAACACTTCTGTTTGGAAAAAAGCCATCTGTCAAAAAGCCATCTGTCAGCAAATCAAACAACAATTCACATTTAAGCAGACTACTGGCCAGAAAACCAAAATATGTGTTACAGACCACTGACCAACAAAGCAGCCAATCAGCTTCTTCATTACAAACCACTGACCAACAAAGCAGCCAATCAGCTTCTTCGTTACAAACCATTAACCAACAAAGCAGCCAATCAGCTCCTATGTTACATATCCCTAACCAACAAAACAACCTATCAGTAAATAGATTGCAAACCACTGAAAATCAACCTAGCCAATCAACACATTTGTTACAAACAGCTAACAAACAATACAGCCAGTCAGGTTCTGTGTTACAAACCACTGACCAACAAAGCGACCAATCAACCTTTACTTTACAAACCATAAATTCACAGCAAACTCAACCAGGTTCTTCATTAAATGATGGAAGGTTTGCCGAGACCAACATGGCTTCCTGTGATATGTATATAAAAAATGAAATTGAAGATAATTATCAAGGATATCATGAAATACCAACTTCACCTGACCAAGGAAACGGTATCTATGGCAACAACCAACCAAACTCAACACATGTGCAGAAAAATTCATCAATTTTGTCTCTTCTAAAATCTGGACCAGCTTATTCTCAACATTTTACTATGGATACTTTATCTAAACAACCTGATCATCTTCCTGTTTCCCTGGAAACATTAAGTAAGGAAAACAACTCCAGACCAGCTGCCTGGGAAGCTATTGGTTACCATGACAACAGCCGCCAGCCTGTTACCATGGATACCAGGGATGTAGAACGTCGGGGGAGATCGTTTACAATGGGAACCACACACAGGAGGGAGGATATAAGTTTCGTACCTTCTGTTCCACATAGGACCCGTGCAAACACTGGCTCCTCAGTTAGCGTTCTTCAGAAATCGCATAAAAGATTATCGGACTTATTAACAGGGTCTTCCTCCTCGGCACTTTCATCGGAACCCTCATCCGCTTCTGAAACAAACATTGAAACACCAAACCCTTCTTCACCAAAGCCAGGAACATTGAATGGCAGTAAAAGTAACAGTGCTCTTTTGCAGCGACTGCTCACACTGGGCCCCAGTGGGTATGTCAGACAAGGCGTGATACCAGATACGGAAGACATAGAAACAAATCCTGAAAGCCTCCCAAATGGGCCAGAACAACCAACCCCAAAATATCCTTCAAGTGCACTTCTGATGCATCTTAATGGGAGAAACCAAATTGTGGAAAAGGCAGACAGTAGGTTAAATGTTGAACATCCAGAATATTTGAACCCGAGTGTTCCCTATCAAAATTCTGAGCGTAAAACCACAGGTAAGCTAGACGCTACAATTGAGAAACTTTCTTCCATGCTGGTGGACAAAGTAATTCAAGAAAAAAAATCGTCTGAAGCGGAGTTACCTCCCCTGACTGTTCCGTCCCCAAGTATAGAGACTCGTTACGCAACGCCACCGAGAGAAAACCAACTTGAGAAAAAATCACTGCTTAAAGCTCTCGTGAGAGAAAAAGTCCACAGGGAAAAGGAAAAAACCGAGAGAGAGGCATTCTTACTAGAAACCTTGAGGCGAAGTCTTAATGAACCTCGTGACAATCTCCTCACTCATCTACCGCTGCCGGGGAAAGACTTCCTTAATTTCTACAAGTGTGAATACTGCGGAAAAGCCTTTCCCCATAAAGGAACTCTGAAAGTGCATATGAGAACTCACAGCATTGAAAAACAGGAGTTCAAGTGTGATGTGTGTGGTAAAGTCTGTTCGGCGAAAGGCTATTTATTGATTCACATGCGAACCCACCGTCAAGAATACGGGATGTTCGCCACTAACCAGGATGTGGAGGTGATATCTCCACAGCAGAACAGCCCAGATACTAGTCAGAAGTCGCAAGAAGAGCAAAATAAATGCAACATATGTGAGAAAACTTTCAGTGAGAGCGAGAATTTGTTGATTCATTTACGAATGCACACTGGAGAAAAACTGTACAAGTGTGAAGTCTGCGGGAACGGATTCACGCGAAAGACACAACTAGCGATCCACATGCGGATACACACTGGGGAAAAACCGTACGAGTGCGACGTGTGTGGGAAAACGTTTCGCCAAAGTAACGGTCTGAATTTACATATGATAACGCACAGTGAGGTTAAGCCATACAATTGTCAGAATTGCGGGGCAGGTTTTGGAAGAAAAGCACATTACGAAAAACACATGCGCTGGCACAGAGGCGAGCGCCCGTTCCACTGCGCTGTCTGCGGTAAGGGATTCACGGACAAGTTTAACTTGTCCACGCATTTCAAGATCCACAACCAGAAGAAGGACCACGTCTGTGATGTGTGTGGGAAGGGTTACAACCAGGCTACACATTTAAAGGTATAATGTAATCACAATCAAATCTGTAAAAAGGATACCGTAAATTTGCGGGTATAGTGCGCAGGTACGTTTTTGGGGTCAGATTTGAAAAAAAATGTTGTTTTTTTGTTTTTTTTTAGAAAAAAATTAACGGTATCAAACTAGAAAAGTAGCATCAAAGGTAGCTTGGTGTTTATAACGCCGATGAATTAACGATTGATTGATTGGAGTCAACAACCCCATGAAGCACTGTAACTATTCCACTGCCAAAAACTGTCAGGGGGGTAAAAAAAATAAAAAAAATACCCCTGACAATAATAAATGTTTGACAGTAGGCTTAAGCTTGGAGGTATCAAAGTATATATTGCATTACAGAAGGAACATATTGTTATTCGTATCCCGATATTGTGTCACGGGAAAAAAAGTGCTCTAATTGTTATGGGATTGTTATCAAACTGAATCATATTATACTTGTTTATATCATATATGGGTCACACAAATTGAGGATTTGTTTATATCATATATGGGCCACACAGATTTAGGATTTGTTTATATCATATATGGGTCACATAGATTTAGGATTTGTTTATATCATATATGGGTCACACAGATTTAGGATTTGTTTATATCATATATGGGTCACACAGATTTAGGATTTGTTTATATCATATATGGGTCACACAGATTTAGGATTTGTTTATATCATATATGGGTCACACAGATTTAGGATTTGTTTATATCATATATGGGTCACACAGATTTAGGATTTGTTTATATCATATATGGGTCACACAGATTTAGGATTTGTTTATATCATATATGGGTCACACAGATTTAGGATTTGTTTATATCATATATGGGTCACACAGATTTAGGATTTGTTTATATCATATATGGGTCACACAGATTTAGGATTTGTTTATATCATATATGGGTCACACAGATTTAGGATTTGTTTATATCATATATGGGTCACACAGATTTAGGATTTGTTTATATCATATATGGGTCACACAGATTTAGGATTTGTTTATATCATATATGGGTCACACAGATTTAGGATTTGTTTATATCATATATGGGTCACACAGATTTAGGATTTGTTTATATCATATATGGGTCACACAGATTTAGGATTTGTTTATATCATATATGGGTCACACAGATTTAGGATTTGTTTATATCATATATGGGTCACACAGATTTAGGATTTGTTTATATCATATATGGGTCACACAGATTTAGGATTTGTTTATATCATATATGGGTCACACAGATTTAGGATTTGTTTATATCATATATGGGTCACACAGATTTAGGATTTGTTTATATCATATATGGGTCACACAGATTTAGGATTTGTTTATATCATATATGGGTCACACAGATTTAGGATTTGTTTATATCATATATGGGTCACACAGATTTAGGATTTGTTTATATCATATATGGGTCACACAGATTTAGGATTTGTTTATATCATATATGGGTCACACAGATTTAGGATTTGTTTATATCATATATGGGTCACACAGATTTAGGATTTGTTTATATCATATATGGGTCACACAGATTTAGGATTTGTTTATATCATATATGGGTCACACAGATTTAGGATTTGTTTATATCATATATGGGTCACACAGATTTAGGATTTGTTTATATCATATATGGGTCACACAGATTTAGGATTTGTTTATATCATATATGGGTCACACAGATTTAGGATTTGTTTATATCATATATGGGTCACACAGATTTAGGATTTGTTTATATCATATATGGGTCACACAGATTTAGGATTTGTTTATATCATATATGGGTCACACAGATTTAGGATTTGTTTATATCATATATGGGCCACACAGATTTAGGATTTGTTTATATCATATATGGGTCACACAGATTTAGGATTTGTTTATATCATATATGGGTCACACAGATTTAGGATTTGTTTATATCATATATGGGTCACACAGATTTAGGATTTGTTTATATCATATATGGGTCACACAGATTTAGGATTTGTTTATATCATATATGGGTCACACAGATTTAGGATTTGTTTATATCATATATGGGTCACACAGATTGAGGATTTGTTTATATCATACGAGTCACAGGGGCATAGATCGCTTTACTTGTAATATTGAAAAATAGGGGTCTCCTATACTAATAAATACATTAGTATAGGAGACCCCTATTTTTTAATATTACATGTAAAGCGATCCATTCCCCTGTGATATGAGTCTCAAAGATTTAGGATTTGTTTATATATGCATGGGTCACACAGATTTAAGATTATCATTAAACTGGCCTAGATGATGAAATTTCACCTCGTTCCACCACTGCTTAAATAGTGTAGCCCATCTATGATTATTGGTATATGTTTGTTAGAATATAGAGTAATTGCAAAGGATAAAATTACAAAAACACCAAGCAGTTAAAAAATCATAACAAGATTTTTTTAAATAAATGTTGCGATACAATTATGATTTAATTTCTGTACATTGCACCATGATACATTATGTATGTTTATTGCAATACATGTATACAATTTTCTATATATTTTGACCGCCTTAAGCTTATTACTAGCCCAAGTTTCCTCAGGCCCTGACACCAGAGTTAGACATTTTGACAGATAAAGCTGTCTGGTGTGTACATTTTCATACTGTAGTGGTCTGTGCGCCGACACCAAACATCTATCTGTCAAAAAGTCCTAAGTCTGGTGTACAGGGCCAGAGGAAACTCGGGCTAGGATATAACTCGAATCAATAATAGTGAGTAATACAAACTGTGATACCACTATGATATGATAATATTTTTGTTACCTCTCCATTCAGAACCACATGCAGTTCCATACAGGAGACCGGGGGTACGACTGCAGTGACTGTGACTCGGTGTTTGAACACAAGCGAGCCCTCCAGAACCACGTCAAAAGCACCCATTTCGACACGTACGAGAAATCCCTCACTTCGAAAACGTCGCTGCGAAAATTCCAGAAATTGCGGGAGCGTGGAAGGATCACGGAGAATCAGGCTGAAATGGAAGACTGTAGCGAAACCAGTAGCGAGTTTGATGATTCCTGTGACGAGGAGGAGGATGACGACGACGACTCCATTTTATCTGATGGGGATGACCTGTACACAGGAGGCAGTTTTGTGATTAAGAACGAACCTGGGGAGTGGTATGCCGATGGTGCAGAAAAGGCGGGACAGTCTTGTGAAGGGACCGAACAGTGTTATGAAGAGACAATGCAGCCCTTTCAAGGGGCAGGACAATCCGTCAATCTATGTGAAGGCGACAAACAGCTGCAGAATGGCAATCAGTGGGAAGTGAAGGAAAATTCTACGGTTGAACTGAAGATCCAGAACTGTTCAAGTGACAAACCCATCAAAAAGGAACTGTTGGATTCATATCCAGATGTGGAGGAATCAAATTCAAATCATCAGGTCAAAGGTCAAGATGGTCATCTATGTACTGAAAAGCCATATGATTTACATCAGAGCCAGAGTGAGATAGATGACCAAGATTCAGAGAAAGATCTTGACAATGAAGATTCTGCGTCATCCGGCAGAAGTTTCGTGAAAACTGAACCGACTGAGGGGAGTTCATTGGAAAACACAGGTGATGGTTTAAAGTTAAACAGTGATGTGACCCAGTCTGACAAATATATCAATAGATCTGAAGATTCGCAGAAAGACATTCGCAAGGAAGTCTCTGATTCATCGTCTGACAGAAGCTTCGTGAAAACTGAACCCGTAGAGTATTGTGAAACTGCAACGGTCCAGAAGAGGTCGTTCGGAGATGTAGGTGATGCTTTAAACTGTGGTGTGTCTGAATCGGATAATGATCTCGAGTCTGTCCAAAGATCTGATTCAAGTCATCTTGGGAGTATTCACCCGAACAAACCCACCGTAGAAGTGGAGTTAGATCCGTCCGGTGCTAGCACTGACAGTCGAGGGCGATGTGAATTCAACAGCATTTCATACAATGACAGCAGCGATTCCGAACAAAGCAGCAGATTTTACATCGGGAAGAAATTCTCGTCTCAAAATGGTTGCAAGTCTCCGACCAAAAAGAGGAAATTTGACTGCGAGACACAAGAGCCGTTAATGAGTGGTGGTGATGGGACGTTGTCAAAGGGAGACAACCCTGACATTCTACTCCACAACACCAACAATTAACAGGTATAATTTTTAATGGGACCTCTTATAATTACAATTACTCTATATAAACCATTACATTTAATTTAATACTGTTATTATAAATCACCATAAGATGGGATGGTGTCTTGATTTTTTTTGGTTCTAAATGTTATGACATTCTAATTAATCCTCCATTTTCACTTCTGTACAAAAAATTGTGTGTATATGTATTTTGATGGAAGTATTTGGACAAAATTAAATCTCCAGTAATATAAGGGCACACAATAAATTTGATGATGATGATGATGATGATCTATTTGTACTCTTTGAGACATTTATGATCTATAAAGTTGAGCTTTTCTCTTGCATTGTCACTTACCATGTTAATATTAATATAGACCTTGCAATTGTCTGTACAAGTGTTTGTTGAAAAATGTTTAGCTCACCTGACCCCAAGGCAGAGGGGTTGGCCTAATAGGGGAAATATAGCTATATAGAGGTAAATCAATAAAATCCTTCACCTTTCATACTAATTTCGGGGTTTTATCCCTGCCCTATATACAAATATAAAATTTCTAGACATGAAGAAAAGTTTAACATATGCATGCCACCAGGATTGGCCCGGAGGTCCAGACTAATTCCTTGAGACTTATCTCCCTGGGACATAACATGGAAACTCATATGTTCTTGGTGTCTTACGTACCTACCCAAACAGATTTACGTGTAGTTTATTCTTGCAACTTATACTTTTTTTACTCCTGTATGGTACTCAGCAGGTTTTAAATTGAAAATAAAATACCAGGTGTGAGCTATTTAGGCCCCTGGACCTCTTGTTTAAATTAAAATTGATTGCTCTTTAGCTAGTGTCTTTTGGCGTTTCTATTAAAAAAATCTTTATGAGAGTAAAACATCAATCCCATCCCAGAACTTACATTGAATTTAATTGATAAATTGCATAGAGAAATAGGCAATTTAAATTTTGCCTTTTTCGCCCTCTGTGTTGAGGGCAAATTTATCATTACAGCGAATATAATTATATATAAGTAAACTGCATATTAAGGTAATAGGATTGTGTCACCATTTCTCAGTAGAATTTCTTTAAATTTTGTAGTTATATTCCTATGAAGTAAAGAAAAATTTCTGCCACAAAAAAAATATAGGTTGTCAGAAATTTAAGGATTTTAAATGGAAATTTATGTAAAAAGGAGTGAATTTAAAAAAAAAAACACCTAAAAGACACAATTTTTTGCAAAATAATGTCAATAAAAATGATACTGCCATAGATTAGTATTGCATTAATGTATATCAATTTAATAAATGCTGAAATTGTGTAAAATAAATTGTCTATAAACGATTAAAAATTGACGCTTTATAATAAAACCATATACACATAGTAATTGCATGGAAGAGTTATCTTTCTTGAAAAATTTCACAGATCAGTGAAATAGGTAGCCGGTTTCCTGAAGTACAGAAAACTGGACACATTTGACACATTGATAAAAAACCCACTGAATTAATGCCTGAATTGCTTTGAAATACTTTAATATTGAGAGAACACACTGTTCTGTCAATAATAAACATACAATATTCATCAGTTTAATATTAAACATTAGAATATGTGGAAATTGTGATACTGTCTCCCTACATTGGATTTTCAACTAGGGATGTACCTCCTATTTCCTATGACCTTAAACATAGAACTGGTACCAGTAATTAAATGTGAGGGGTCAAAGTATTCAGATGTCTTCGAAAGTCACATATTCTTTAGATTTTACTATATGATTGATGAAAATGCATAAAAAGTTGCTTGATACCCACTCATTATAAAAGACGGAAACCTAATGTAAAGTGAACAACTCTGTCTATTGATGTGACAGTAGTGTTCTTACTTTGCTTGGGTATTCAGTCCCCAAAACAAATTATGAAGCAATTATGCAATCAATCATTGATTGGTTTAATTTCACTACTTCCAATTACAAACAGATTATCGATTATGTTTTAAACCGATTGCCCATCACTACTATTAATACAAGTTCACAAATATGATTGTTTTAAAGTCTTTGAGTCATGTTTTTTTTTTTTTTTTTTCATATAGGAATTAAATCTAAATGCTTTCATTTTCAGATGACAAAGGGGACTGCGGGAAGCAGATAAGCTGACTTTATGACCAAAACAGAACTCTCCAGTTTCCAAGCAACAGATCAAGACGAGACATAATATCAAGGGAAAATTTCAAGATGGCATTGAAGAAATGAAAATTGCATTATACACATGTAACTTTTAACTCATTCACCCCTGAAATTTCGTAATGAACTATTCTAACCTTTGAATTGAAGGAGTTCAAATGTGTGTTCAGGGGTAAATGTGTTAAAGTCTGTTTAAACTGTACATGATATAACCCCTTGCCGTTTGAAGATATTAACTCAACACTTTATTAATATATATGACCATGACCATGTTTATTTATTATTTAATTCACTTTAAAATTGAAATTCATGCATTTTTTTTTTAAAGTGCATAATTTTCCAATTTAAGCAAAAGAATGTATGTGTGTTAAAATCATGACCATCGTTATCGTGTTTAACTCTAGTTAGATAAATTATGTTCATTGCTGTGTTTTTTTGTTTTTGTTAACTTGAGTTAGATAAACATGATAAACAACATGTCACTAGTTAATACCGAACCTGTTATGCCGTGATACGGATGAAAAAGTAGCATGTTATCGTGTATAATTGAGCCTCAGTAATCCAGCAACCTCCGTTCTCAGGAGATTATTCATCAATCAACATTCTCAGTAGAAACTCAAGAACCCATTTTCCCGGTAGCTAATCCAGTTTTTGCAGATAGAATATATTGACCTCCGTTTCCGGTAGATAATCCAGCCACCACGGTTACCCGTAGATGACCCAGAACCTCCATTCCCTGGGAATAAAGCAATCTCCATTCCCAGTAAATAATTCAGTGACCTCTCTTCCTAGTAAGAATTCTGTGACTTCTGGCCCCGGGATCGTGAAACAATCTTTTTGCTTGGCCAATCACATATGACGTTATTTGTGATTGGCTAAATCCAAACAAATTTAGACTTTTTGTCGTTTCATGATCTGGGGCTTGGTCTCGTTGGATAATCCAGTCACTTCATTTCTAGCTAGATAATCCAGTCACTTCATATCTAGCTAGATAATCCAGTCACTTCTTTTCTAGCTAGATAATCCAGTCACCTTCATTCCAAGTATATCATCCCACAGTGACTGCAATTTTGAGTAGAAATTCAAGCTCCATCTGTCTCTTAGTGATCCCCAGTCCCAGTATAGGCAATCTGTATTCAGTAGAAAATCCAGCTCCATTTGTCTCCATAGATCAGATAACTTAGGGTGGTCGGGTGGTGCAGTGGATAGCGCACTTGCCTTTCACCAAGGCGGCCGGGGTTCGATTCCCCGATCGGACGTGAAAAGGTTGGGGTCACTTGCCCGACCATGTGGGTTTTCTCCGGGTACTCCGGTTTCCTCCCACACTAAGTCCCCCCACACGCTAAACATTGAAATAACTTGTTTCATAATTGTTGTAAAATAAATAAAGTTTATATTTATATTTAAAGATCAGATAGCTCAGCAACTTGTTTCCCAACAACCTTTATTTCCACGGTTTCTCCAGCAGCCTGTGGACCCAGTAAATAATTTAACCTCCTTGTCCAGTTGATAACCCAGTGATCTGCATTCCCTATGTATAATCCAGCAATCTGTATTCCCAGTAAATAATCAAGTGACCTCCTCATACTTTGCCTTAGTAAGATAATCCAGGAATCTTTATTTCCACTAGATACTTTAAAACTGAAAATGTCAGCTGTGTGGAAATGCTCAGTTTTTTTACATTGAGTAAATTTGAGAAGAAAAAAAACCGGCGTCTAACATACTGCTACCACTATAGCCCTCCACCACTGGGTCGTGGGTTCGAGGCCTACGTGGGGCAGTCGCCAGGTACTAGCCGCAGGTGGTCATTTTTTCTCCGGGAACTCCGGCTTTCCTCCACCATCAAAACCTGGCGCTTCTTAAATGACCATACAAATATAACTGTTAATAGGACGTAAAACACAAACAAACTAAAGGGATATTTTTGTGTAGAAAAAGGCCAAATTAGGGGGCGAGTTTTGGGCCTGAGAATGGGCCCAATTCCCTATTGAAACTATTTAAAACTAAACTTATACCTAATTCCCACAAATTATGATACACAATAGGTTAAAATATCACATTACTGAAAATAATCTAATAAGTCAAAACCAAAGCGGACTCAGGAATCACAGATCTACCATAGACTCCTTAGTTAGAATAACGTCCGAAATAAAAAATACGCTAAATAAAAACCACCACACAAACTTGAAAATTTACTTCCTATTTTGTAGTATTAAAAGGCCCCTATCCCAAATTAACGAGGGGAAAAACACTGGCTAGATATATAGTCCGAGAACTGTTGACTTGTTAAGTGCTGGATTAGTGAGGCTTTATATAGCCCAAAAAGTAAAATATTGATTTACCGAAATATTTCCTTGTGGAAATGCCAGTACAATGCATCACAAGATGTGAAATTCTTCGCCCTAGTCCATTGTATAAATATGTAGATCCAGATTATTTTAATTTATTGTTTTATATTGATGTTAATATAATTTATACTACTTGTTGTAAACAATATATTTGTCTTGTGTATTACAGTTTTCGGTCAACTTTAAGTATAAAAGTCAGTTGTCGGTTTAACTCATTCACCCTTGAAATTTCATAATGAACTATTCCAACCTTTGAATTGGAAGAGTTCAAATGTGTCTTCAGGGGTATATGAGTGTCTGTCAACTCATTAAGGATATAGGTCAGTTGTCAATTAACTCATTCACCCCATGAGATTTCACGATGAACTATTCCAACCTTTGAATTGTAAGAGTTCAAATGTGTCTTCAGGGGTATATGAGTGTCTGCCAACTCATTAAGGATATAGGTCTGTTGTCAATTAACTCATTCACCCCATGAGAGTTCACGATGAACTATTCCAACCTTTGAATTTGAAGAGCTCAAATGCATCTTCAGGGGTGAATGAGTTGGGTTTTCTCAAAAAATGAAAATAATATGCAACAGTGCCAGGGTACATATTATTGATATTAATATACATGTGTTTTATGATCTGATTAGAATTAATGCTGAATGTGATGATAGAAATAATGTCAAACTGTTAACTATATATTATATAATATCAAAGTTTTACTATATTCAAAATGTACGTGTTAAACGTGTCGCAACATTTCACGACCGACTTGTTCCTCTGTCAAGCTACGATCGACTGAGTGAACAATTTGTATTGTTTACCTGTACAACAATGTGACGTAATTACATATTTCAAATGTCACTGGAACCGGGACGTTTCGCCTAGCGATAGATCGCTCACTCAGCCATAGCTTGACAAAGAGACCAGTCGATCTTGAAATGTTGCATCACAATAAATATGTACATAGCTTGCCTATGAAGTAAAACTTTCATATTACATATTTCCAAACTGATGAATCTTACTGCAGATGTTAAGTATATTATTAATACGTGTCTGATATACATACGTATACAAACTTTAAATAGAAACATGCTTTGCCTCATAAATTTATATATTTTCCGTGCATGAATCTTTTCAGGGTTGCCATCAATTATGAAAAGACTATTCACATTACAAATTGTTATACAAATAGATAATTCAGCCAATATTCGAAAATCTGTCATCAGTTATGAAGTGACAGTTCATATAGGAGGTTGCTATTAAGTTTGATGTCGTGGAACTTTTATAGATAGTCTGATAGGAGATACATTTCCTCTATTGGAACCCTTTTGAATAGAAGATACATTTCCTCCGTTGGAACTCTTTTGAATCGGAGATGTATTTCCTCCATGGGGAACTCTTTTATATAGGAGATACACTTCTTTGTAAGGTAACATATATCCTTAAGAATCAGATAGTGTGATGTTCTGTTACCAAAATTTTAACCGACTCATCCGCACACACGTCCTGTTTAGTGATATATTAATGTAAATCACTTTATTTTTGTGAACTGTGTCTCTAGGTTTAATTAGGATCACATTTTGAGAGGATGCTGTTTCAAAACCGATCGTAATTATTTCTATGAGAAATAATGTAAAAATTCACAAAAACTTCAAATCTCCCAAAGTGATCAATTTTACAGTATACTGTACATTAAATTATTGTTAGTATCATGACCATCTTTTCCTAGGTCTGTATTCATGATACTGTTCTCATGCTCAAGCATGGATTTTGTGCTCAAGCCCAATATCTTGTTTCGGTTATAAATTAATAAAAAAATCATATTTTTCAATTATTGCGAAAAATTTGAAGAGACTCAAATTGAATACTGTTTTCAATATTTAAAATTGACGTTTGATCGTTTGACATGATTTAAATGAGTTACAAGAAAGTTGGTTTGAGCACAGAATCCTTGCTAGAGTATGAGAATGGTTTCATGAATACAGGCCCCAGTGTTGCTACAGAATTAGTACCATCATTATAGGCATACCTTACATGTTATGCATGGTTTACAGGGAAAACCCTGGAGTTTGAGAGCAATGGCCCAATGGCCCCCTCCAGGATTATCCCTGATAATAGATATAACAGGTGCGTCATTTACTGTACAGTGTATGTATCTCAGTTTGTTGTATCAAACTTGATTTATTGTAAAACAATTACAAAGCAAGTTATTTCAGCTTGCATTGATCACACTTGTTGATCCAGATGTTAGCAGGCGGAGGGTCGTGATGTGGGCCGATACTGAGAGTACCCAGAGCAAACCCACGTTGGTTAGTTAGAGTGACAGTATCATGGTAGGAGGTCAAGGTTCAAACTTTGTTTTGGCCACTTTGCATAATTATGCTTGGATCAGTGTTATTTTTTATTTTATTTTTATCTTTATCATTTCTTTCATAAAAGTTACGGTTTTAAAAGTTTCTTTTCAGAAATGATTTATCGAACTATACTTGTGCTGAATCAAAGTTTCCAAATCATATTTACAAGTTTTGGAAGTGGTACGAGGACCCTTAACTCATTCACTTATTTTACCATGTGTAAAGTACACTGTTAAAAACAGCTGAAACAAAAACACAAAATTATTTTGAGTGGTAAATCTACAATGCATGAGCTTCATTTATCTCCAAGAGATATTTGTCTGGATGTATATTCTTTTTTAATTTCATTATACATGTTCGTTGTGTATTTTAAAATTATCTCGTGTTTAAGTACTTGTAGTTCTATGTAATACTATGGAAGATTTTCTGCTTTTGTTTTTGTAGAATGAATAGTTCTGTAAAACAAAGGATAAATAAAATGTTAGGATAAGATTAGTTAATGTTGTTCTTGTTTTTAATCAAATACGGTCGGCACAGGTGAAGGATGTTGTGAGGAGAGATAGAAAAACACTATAGACATGCTTCCTTTTCTCTGTTACCACCAGACAGAACAGTGACCTCCGGGATCTGTCAGCGAGACGAAACCTGCATGTATGGGTGCAGTCATGTAGGCGATAAACTCGTCAACCAATGCAATCTGCTACCACTAGCCCTCTACCACCGGGTCGCAGGTTCGAGACCTACGTCGTCGGGCAGTCGCCATGCAGGCACTGGCCGTAGGTGGGTGTTTTTTCTCCAAGAACTCTGGCTTTCCTCCACCACAAAAAGGAAACCTGTCACGTCCCTAAATGAACATATCTGTAAATTAAATATATATGATAAGACGTAAAACACAAACTCTGCAAAAAAATGAACGTTTTGGGGTCCTGACCAGAAGGCGGATTCAGAGACCTATCTTGGAGGGGGGGGGTTTCCAAATTTCCAGGGGGGTTTCCAAGTGGGGGAAAATTGAGGAAAATGGTGTTAATACATGATTTTTATTGAAAATTCAAGGGGGGGGGGGGGGGGGTCCTGAAGCCCAAAAAATCCTCTGGATCCACCACCGACACCATTAGCACACCCCACCACCTATAATCTACATCCTTAAATGTGTGGTCTGTGTCGAGAGATATCTCGATTTTAAAACTTGCATATTCAGTCTCTCGTGTAAAATAGAGGCACATTCTCTCAACATAAGGGGGTGGGGGTGGAGCAAGTCGGTCAACCATATCAACTGTATGTGTAAGTTTAAATTAACGATCGATCGTAAATGACCTTTGGCCGAGGCATTTAAAGATCGGGCACAAAGGGACCTGATAATTGCTTAATCGTATCTCAACTAAGGTAATTAAAGTAATGTTACGCGATTTACAGGTTTAGATAAACTTTCGGTAAAAATGCCATACCCTAATGATGGTTTATATACAAGATTGTTTATTATATCAGCATCACCATTATCTGTACTGTGATGGTATATACGATTGCGTACGGTTGCATTTGTACCGACAATTAGTGTAGTCAA